GTTCTGCAGCGGACTAAAATCTCCTGGTGATGGTTACACAAAGAACACCTGAAAACAAAAGAAAATATCATGGTGTGGCATACGTTAACCTCAGGACGAATTGACGAAGATGATGTTTCACCGTTAGAAGAAACAACAGCCAAGCGACATACGTATACTCGACTCTATTTTAAGGTTGGAAACAACAAACAAACATCCACGAGTGGTACGGAGTCAACCCAACAACTAAACTAGACTACGCGGTCTCAGTCTCCATCGCAAACATTGGTTCGCTGCCCCGGCACTGCCTATCTACACTCTACAGAGGACTTGACTTATCTTAGGCTGGTCTGGTCGGCTCGGCTGTGTCTAGTAAGTTTAGTCTAGTGGCAGTGAGTTGTGGCACGTATGCACATCCACTTTTTCTTTTGATCACTGATCGTATCATGTGTACGGTTCGCCCTGGCCCAGACATCCACCGCCAGTGATCTTCGGATCATCGTTGTTCATCGCCCCGAATTTTTGCCTTCGAGGGGCGGCCGAGCAGGCGATTCCTCGGTGAGGGGCAATTCTCGGGCACGGTGGCTTCGACGAGTGTTCGATGAGATTGCCTGTTCGGGTGGGATCGACGTTGAGCTGTCTGTCCGGCTCTGCGTTGAACCGTGGTTCGGGGTTGGGGAGGGTGTCGGGCTACGCGGATATGGTAGGGTTTGGAGATGCCGAGAATTAACCACGTCTCCTCCTCGTGTGGTTGAGGATGGGGGGAAGGGACTCGTATACAGTATGGTTCCCGCGTTATTATTGATAGGGTGGATATGATTGGTTGGCAGTTCCCAACCGTCTGAAGAGACCTTGTTTTTGTTTTGCTCCGTTCGTATGGAAGCTCGATAGGGAGTAGGATGGGTTCATCTCAAGAGGGAGGGATGTACCTGGTTGCTGGTAAAGGGTGATCAAACCCGTCGGTCTCCTAATCTGATGGATCGACTGTTCTTGATGCTTAGCTTGGCGCTTAAACACGGAGTCGCCTCAGTTATCAGTTCCTAACGCAGGAGCCTGCTCTGGGTTACATCCGTGTTTGATGTCTACTTAGCGGTCGATCCGGCGAAGCGCTTAAGCGGCCTGCTTCACGATCGTATCGAATCGCCTCGAAATTGAGACGCAAGCGCATTTTCCAGGCGCTTCCATATAACGAGCAGCGATTATAGTTCCTAACTTGCTTGAATCCCTGCTCGGAAACAAAGCCATCGTCGTCATTTCCTAAGCTGGACATATGAAGCAGCTAGTATTCCTGGGTGCCTCTCTGGTGCCAGAGAGGGATCCTGAGTAGTCAGGTACTAGGTACATCCTGCCACCGCCTCGCACCCGGTCTAGAGCTGCAGCGGCAGGGATGTGCCTTGAGGATAGTTCACGGCCAGGCTGTACGGTGCATGTAAGTCCGCGGATGTCTTACATCCTGAGCTGCACGTCTGCACCAACCAGCAGGCGGCCTGTCAGGAGTGGGATCCTCTGCCGATTTAGACTCACCGTAGCGGCTGCTAGACTAAGGCCGACTAGAATATTCGAGGCGGGTTTCAGCTGGGTATAGCACCAAGTTGCACACCGGGGCAGGCAATCAAAATACTGACTTGCCTCGGTCGTGTGCCGCCATGAATAATTTGACAGGCCCAAATCCACGAGGCCAGTCCAATCATCACGGTTTCAATAGTCAGGCGCATCCACCACGGGCGCAGGGGAAGCCGAAGAAAGTCGACAGCGGCAAGTCAAAGGCTCAACGGCCGAGGTGCACCGGAAGCGCTAACCCGAAGCGGTACCGAAGGTGTCTACACGCGACGCGGTTTGTTGTATCTGTTACATAATCTGCTCGAGGCAGTTTGCCCGACAAAGACACCAAGTCATGAAAGTTATAGTGCACAGTAGGAGAGACGCCCTGGAGAGGCGACTGGTTCGGGGACTGTCCGTGCTGGCCTGGAGGGGCACTGACCAATGGCAACGTGGCAAGACCATTTCAGCCAATCACAGTACAGCGATAACGAGCTGCAGGAGGACTCCAATCCGGAGGCGAGGTTCAAGGGATCCACCGACTTTGGGAAAAGCGGTTCTCCAGCTAATTGGTTTCCACTCCCACTGGTGCAAAGGCCCCATTCTGAGCAGCCATCCATCCAATCCAACTCAAACCCAGTCCATGCTTTCCGTTCCATCTCATCTCCCCTTCATCACCCTGTTTCTTATCCGATCGGATTGATTGGCACGGGAGAGCAGTCGGACACAACGGTCGGTCTGTCACCGCCAGAAAGACGTTGGACTTGATGGAGTCTTGCTTGCAAGGGGATGGGGATAGCAGTGGATGTATGTGTGGATATGTAAATAGTAGTAATATCGTAGTAAGTAGTAACTGCACACTGACTCCCCTTCCCGTGATCATTGGAAATAGGATAGACCATTCCTACTTCCGAGGCTGTGGGAAGGGAACACCCATGTACACAGTAGCAGTACTACTAGCAGTTGGTCTCGTGAACTCTTCCTAAGAGAGCAAGTCATCGCGGTCAAGGCGACCAGTGGGTCTTTACCTCGGGTGGAGTCCGCTTGCCAATGAGAAGCCACCCTATTATGATTTGATGGGAGATTCACCGGTCGAGCGTTCCGTGGTCTGTAGCCGTCGCTCAGAAGCGTGTCTCTCTGTGTCTGTGTCTGTCTCTCTTTCAGCTGCCACTATTACAAAGTAGTCTATCCGATGGCGGTTGGAGTCCGCGTTAGGTGTCCGCTTTTTTTGATGGAGAAGCGGACCCTCATTCATGATTAATTGTGGTACCTTGCACGGTAGACTCCCGTGCTTACAGCAGAGTGAGTGATATTGGCAGTTGGTGGGTTTGGAGAAGGGGAGAATAATGGGGACAGCTGTGTACATCGTGAGGAGTAGTGGGGGGAAGAACAATGGGGATGGCTCAAAAGGGAAAGTTATCAGATGCGGGCATTAATCCATTTTCGATGATGATACCGTGTTCCAAGTCTTGTTGCCACTAGACCGGGATGCATACTTGATTGCCTCAGGGTCGAGAGTTGGCAAGGTTGACTCTGGGCCGCCCTGTGCATACCGCGGGGATGAATGAATCATCGATGGGCGGTATGGAGGGGAAAAGATACGGAAGATCCTCGATCGAAGGAATGCCCGGTGCGGGTGGGAAGCAAGAGGCGGTCAAGAGAGAGCAGGGGGGGGTGGTGTGTGTATGGTTGTTGTCATCATGACTTTCGGCGGAAGGGGGGGAAGAATGAATGGATATCGAGTGGTAGTGACTGGTTGGCGATGCAGCCATCCTCCAGTCTGGATATTACCGTGGACGGGCAGCAGGTAGTAACACCGCATTTGTCCATCCCACCCACCCGGTACAAATGTCATGGATCTGCCAAGAACCGGGCAGAAGTAGATAGATTGAATGTATTACCTTTATTTTCATTTTCATATGACTATCACGGAGGAATTGCCGGGTATACAGGGTAGCGAGTATATTGCATCTCTCGTCATCATTATTATCCCCCATCATAATAATACCAAGTATTAAGACAATCGGAAACACCCAGCAGAGTAACACTCCGGCGTAGTATCCGATATTCGTCTAAATCCCGACTTTGGCAATTATCAACTCTTTCTCAGGGCGGCCTCGGTAAAATGCCGTGCTGGTTTGGGGTTAGTCTAACCTGAATCCGTCCGATCTGCTGTTACGGATTGGTAACGCCGGACGATCGGGGAGTCCGTCCAGTTCCAAACAAATCTCCTGGATTTTCCCTCCAGTCCTCGGCTACGGATTCGTCAGGGGAAAAACAATGGTTAGTCGAGTAAGAAATGAGTATGGGAAAGGAAAGAAACATGAATTAAGATGAAACTATCAGTAGGTCACGATCACATTCTTATGACATCTTGCAGGGCGAAAGGGGTGAGGAAGAGAGGAGAATATTATCCGAAGAAGCAAATAAGATCCCAAAAAGTAAAGTAACATTCGAGTCGTAGTAGATACATCCAGTAAAAGTAAAGTAATAATTATTCCCCCTTTGTTACTTACAGTGTAGGGTAGGGAAAGTAACTTCAGTCAGTCATCGTCACGATCAAGCGTAACTTTCTGGGAGTGTAAGGTCGCCTCCGATCCTCCAACAGCTCCACTCCCTGCCTTTCTTCGGGACTTTCTAGCCTCAACCTAAGCCGCCGTCGGAACTACCTATCGAGTCCAAGCAGACGAGACTGCGCTGCTCGTCGGGTTAATTTAGCGTGTTCAAGGATGATGATAATTATTATTATCATCGGGGTCTCCATCCACTAGCGCATCTCCACAATGCATGGCAAAAAATCGCCCATTCCCTATTGCCCATTTCCCATTTTCCACCCACCCCCCAATCCCCGTCCGGCGGATGCCACTTAATAATTCATTCATTCCTGCTGGGAGTGCCTGTAGTAGGAGTAGAGTCTCGCTCTCTTATTAGTAGCCCTTCATCGCCCACCATTATCACCTGCTTCTCCCCCTTCCCCTTCACTCGTCCCGATTCGTTTCGAGTACCACCCACCCACTACTTAACTATTTTATCATCTCACTATTAACTCACCTACTTGAACATCCCCCCCACGCGGTTTGCTTGTGCTGCAACCCGATTCCCTGGATCGATCCTCTCTATATCGCCTATCTCCAGATCCCAGCGTCATCGCGAACTTTATCCCACCACTCTCCCGCTTGCCACTGCGATGCGCTTCTGGTTCCGTCCAGCTACTCTGTCAATGGCCATTAACTGATCTAATCCTCTCTGGTTACTGTTGGCATCATAACCCATCAATTCACTCGACACCTTACTGAAAGCGATAATTCATAATTCCCTCAACACCCGCTACTATTAGTACTTGGTCTACTGTCACCTTATCTTCCACTTTTGACTTCCATCCTCTCAACTACTCTCCACTCTACCAACACTTGATAACCAACATCTCCTCCACCTTCCACCCAAACTCTTTTTCAATATTTCAACACCTGATATCATCTCAAATGGCTACCCACGTTGTGACTGCGACTACTACTGCCCCTGCTTTCACTGGCAAGCAAATCTCCGTCTACGGCCATCCCTCTCCTGTCAACTCGGCTGAGACTTCTCCCGCAAATAACTCTCCTACCTCTCCTCGCTATCAGCACTTGCCGCTTCAGTCGAAGCAACTTCGTCCCCTCAAGGGCCCTCTCTACGTTCCTGCTGCCTTGCGCCCGACTGAGCGTCCCCAGAAGGCCTCTTCTCCCCCGACTCCTCCCCGCAGCGTTCACGGTTCTCACGGTTCTCTCGACAGCCTGAACGAGGGCGAAGTTGGTGCACCTGTTACTCGTCGTTCGACCATGGAGAGCTACAACAGCGGTCCTGCTGTCAGCAAGCTGGCAGAGGATGAATGGATGAAGAATGAGCACCTGGGTGAGGTCACTGGTCTTCCCACTCGTGATCACTGGAAAGTAAGTAAAACCAACTTCTCAGTCCCTTTGCCCCTGGGTGGACGCGTCTACTATATAGTGTTGTCATGGCGCAAGCCGAGCTCCGGGTCGCGCCATTCTTGCGTTGCGCGATATCGCGTGATCGCCATGACGACATCCGGACAGCCTTGCAACAGACCCCCTTGCAAAGAAGCAAAAATGAACTTGTGCTAACAAGCCTCCCAACAGGCGGACTCTGCTTCTCCCAATTGCGACTCTCCTACTTGCCGCTCCTCTTTCGGTCTCTTCCTTCGTCGCCACCACTGTCGCCATTGCGGCCATGTCTTCTGCTCCTCTCACACTCCTCATGTCGTCCCGCTTGATCAGAATGCTCGCTTCCACCCCGACGGAGTTCCCTCCCGCGCATGCGATCTCTGCTGGAGCGCCTACCAGCGCTGGGAGGAGTCTCGCACGGAGCGCTTGAGCAAGATCCAGAGCCTGCTTGATGCCCAAAGCAGAGCCTCCGACAGTGACAATGAAGAATACAATACCGCCTCCGACCGCTCGGATATCTCGCCGGACGAGAATGCGAAGCCCGCCCTGACCGGAGTGTTGGCACAGAGCACCGAGATCGCCGCCAGCGTCCCTCGTGGCTGGAACTGGAGCACTTTTTAAACTATTACGACAACTACGGCTGATGAACAACAACATGTCCATACCACCCATGTCCATTGACACTACGACATCGGGACGCAACTTCACTTCGTACATACCTGTTTTAGAACATACTTTCTGTCGCTTTTCGCTTCTGTTTTACACCGCCTGGGTTTGTCTTTTCAACGGTTTCGGTCATCGCTAGGAGTTTGCTCGGATGAATTGCGGATTAATGGCTAATGGGTTTTACGGGCGTTTGATTTCTTCTTTATTTGTGAGCTGCGACAGATCGTCGACAGAGATGCGGGGGGCTTCTTTTCTTAATCTTGTTCTCCTTTTACTACTCAGGATACCCCGTCATGGTTGCTTATGCACGGCGATCTCTTTGTTGGTTCCTTGTTTTTCGCTTCGGTGTGAAGTTTACTTGATGAGCTGTGGAGTTTGACATCATCATGATATGCAATAGACTTATTCAACAACCAACCAACCATCTATCCACGTAGCTGTATACCCACATGTAGATCTAACCTCTTAACTACCCTTCAACACATACAGTATATACACACGACCCCCCAAATCTAAGAAGAACCCAATTGAACCCTCCTCCACATCCCCACATGCTCAATCCCCTCCTCATCCCACCTCCCCAACGCCTCATCCGTCTCAAACCCCAACCTCTTATACATCCCCTCCACCTGCACCTGCGCATGCACCAACACCAACCCCTTCCACTCCCCCTCGACCCCAGCAACATCTCTAAACGCCCGTCCAATCTCCCCCGGGTTCTGCGCCGCCCACTTCAGCGCCTCATCCACCAGCACACGTCCCAGTCCATACCCCCTCCAATCCTTGACCACCGCCACCCGTGTCAGTTTCACATACGGCTCGCTTTTCAGATCCCATTTGGGGAGATTTGACGCTGTTTCAGGGTGCGTGAGGATCTCGTGCGGTGCGTGGGGTGGTGGCACGAGACGAATTACGGCCACAGGCGTGGGGGTGATGGTTTCAGTGTCTTGGTGTTGTGCGTAGACTACCCATTGCCAGCTGCGCGGATCGTCCGAGTCGATTTCACCCTCCGGCGTGCAGTTCTGTTCATGGATGAAGACGTCTCGGCGGATGAGGAGGGCCGTGGTTAGGGGGTCCGTGGGGATGGTGAGGGTGGTTGTTGGTGGGGGGACGGTGAGTGGTGGGTTGGAAGAGGGACCCGGAGGTGGGATCAGGGTTGTGGTGAATGTTGGCTGTTTGGTATTTGTAGACATTGTGTTTCAGGGTGTAGAGGTGGTGTTTTAGGGAGGTGTGGAGGGAGTTGGTGAGATTGTAGGTGGAGGGAATTGTGTGGGATGTGGATTGGGGGGATATGCGGGTTTAAGTATAGATCGGACGGAGATGCGGAGATAAGGCCATTCCAGCTATTTATGTGCCTCGTATTTGGTTGTACATGATAGGGTTGGGTGTGTTTGCCAGATTACTTACTTCTTGTGCTATCCAGTCTTAACAGGAGAGAGAGGAGTAAATTAATGATACTGATTTTTTTATTTGGTGTTTGGTTACTTGATCTGAATGTAGTTCATCGTATTAGCATACTGATAACCCAACCAAACAATGCAAACACCAAGTTTTCCTTTTCCATCGCATCGCAATTATCGCAACTCACAATCTCCACAACTCTACCATGCAATAACCACCATATTCCTCCCATCATGTCCCTTTACTACGACGCCGTCTCCATTCTCACGGCGCCCTCCACCACCGGCGGCTCCTTCAAATCCCGCATCTACAACGCCCGCAACATCAAATCCGCCCCGGCGCAAATCTACGCCCTCATCATCGAAGCCTCGAAATGGGATATTCTCCTCAAGGAAGTAATAGAAGCAGCGGGAATACTCAAGCTTGAACCGAAGGTACATACACATACCTCCACACATACACAGACACCACTTATCCCCGCCCGCTCAACACACCCACGAAGCAATCCAATCCAGAGAATACTAACTAACCAAGCCCAACTGAATAACAGCTAACCCCCCTCCTCTCCCTCCTCCTCGTGCACGACCTCCTCCTCGCCAAATCCGGCCTGGCCGCCAAATCCACCCACCCCCTGCGCCAAACCATCGAGCGACACAAGACCCGTCTGCGCGGTGAATTCACCAAAGCGCGAGTGCGACGCGGATGCGCCACGATCCCGGCGCTGAAAGATGCCATCGCGAGGGAGAAGCTCGCTCTGCAGGGCGCAGCAGGCATATCCACAGCAATCTACCCGCGCTGGGTACGAGTGAACAACATCCGCACGACGCTGGAGAAACAGCTCTCCACCACGTTCGCAGGCTACGAACAGGTCTCGTCACTAGCGGAGCTTACCCTCCCGAAGAGGATGGTTCTTGACCCCCATGTCCCGGATTTGATTGCCGTTGCGCCAGGAGCGGAGTTTACGTCGTCGCCGGCGTACAAGAACGGGGAGATTATCCTGCAGGATAAGGCGAGTTGCTTTCCTGCGTATTTGCTTGTTGGGGATGAGGATGAGGGGTGGGATGATGGTGGTGGCTTGTTGGATGGGTGTGCTGCGCCGGGGAATAAGACGACGCATATGGCGTCGTTGTTGGCGAAGCAGCAACATAAACATACCAAAGGGAAAGCGAATGGGACCTACCACATCTTCTCAATGGACCAATCTCCCATCCGAGCAAAAACCCTCCAGAAGATGGTCTCCACCGCCGGCGCAGACACTATGGTGACCGTCCTCCCAGGACAGGACTTCCTCGCCCTGGACCCAACTGATCCCCGCTTCGAGAACGTCTCAGGCCTGCTCCTCGACCCGAGCTGCTCCGGAAGTGGAATCATCGGCCGCGACGACGTGCCCAAGCTTACACTCCCTGAGTCTACCACTACAACCTCCTCCTCTTCTTCGACAGGGAAAAAGCGCAAGCGTCGCGCCAACGACGAGGACGACAGCCGCGAAGGAAAGAAACCCTCCACCACCACGACGACAGAATCCCCCTCAGCAACAGACGAAAACGACGTCCCAGTAACCGGAATGACAGAGGAGCGCCTCATCAAGCTATCGAATTTGCAGACGCGGATTGTAGAGCACGCGCTGAGTTTCCCTGCCGCGACGAGGGTGACGTATAGTACGTGCTCGATCCATTTGTTGGAGAATGAGGCGGTGGTTTCGAGGATTTTGGCCTCGGAGGTGGCGAAGACGCGCGGGTGGAGGGTTCTTAGGAGGGATGAACAGCCCGTTGGGATGAGGAAGTGGGTGCATAGGGGGATTAGGGAGGAGAGAGGGGGTACCGCTGGTGGTGGTAATGGTGGCGATGGTGGTGGGGTTGAAGTGACACTGTCGGATGAGGAATTGGAGGGGTGTTTGCGGTGTTGGCCTGGGGATGAGGAGGGGACTGGGGGGTTCTTTGTTGCTGGGTTTGTGAGGGATGGGGATGTAGATGGAGAGAGTAAGGAGGAGCAGAATAAGGATGAGGTGGAAGAGGATGAAGAAGGGGAAGACGAGTGGGAAGGGTTCTCGGATTGAGTTCATGGGTCTATCATAAAGTAAAATAAAACGGGACATGTACAGTATAAAAGCAAAGTCATGTATAGGCAGGTATAGAACGAAATCAAGATGAGAGGAACTTCCTCTGCTTATTCCGCGTCCGCTGCAACGTATACACCTCCAACTTCACCGCAATCATAACGATATCCATCCCATCTCCCTTGGCCCTCGGTTGCATGCACAGCCGCCACTGTCCGTTGCGGACAATCCACGGACGATTAATGGAGGCCTCTTCAACGCGCTTGCGCTTCCTCGACGGCTCCTCTGACAGACCCTCCGAGCCGGACATGCTGTCCCGGAGAATGTCGGGGAAGTACTCCCTTTCTCCGTCGACGGTCATGTCGGTATCCATTGAGAGAGAGGCCCACAGACGGTCTTCCGGTGCACTCTCTTTTTGTCCCGCTGGACGGTTCTGGTCGCCCTTCTTGCCCGCTATCACCTGCAGAAGGCTGCTTACGCGGGCCTTTGTGGTGCCCAGAAAGGTGGGACGTCTGCTGGTGATGTCGAGGATGGTGCTTTCGTCCCCTATCTCGAGGATCAGATCGTACTTCTTGTCATCGACAAACGGACGAGAGTAAGTAACCAGGGCTGCCGACATGGTGTCGGCCTGAGTGTGACCGGGAGGAAGAGCGATGTCTTCTACGTCGATGCCCGATCGACGGACGTCCTCGAGTCGAATGACAATCTCATCCCGTTTGCGGATGGGGTTGAAGCTGATATGGTGCGGGATGAGCTGCTGCTCTAGACCGCGCAGATGAAAGTAGCGGCAATCCCGCAGGAGCTCTGCCCGATGCGCTTCGTTTCGAATATCCAGAGGATATCCGCGAAGGAGATGGAGGAGCTGCGCAAAAACCTCGCCCGAGCGGCTGGGGACGCTGGGTGGGGTGATTGCTGGAGGTCGCAGGAGACCCTGACGGTCCAGCCCGGGAAATACTTCCAGTGGCGAGGCGAAGAAGGCGGCGAATCCCAGTGTGAAGAAATTCGGCGAATCCCCTGGGCTAGAGAAGATATCGCGAGGAATCTGGAAGTTGTGGCCGCCAATTCGGACGAAGATCTCCGACTCGAAGAGCTGGGAGATCAATCGAGGAACTGGTAGTGTCAGTACTTGCTTTCTCGAAATGTTAAGGACGGGGTCTCCTACGGCTATAGAATTGGGCATCTGCGAAGAACTTGACGAACTGCGGCCCATCTTTCGGCTGTATATGGTAGCCTGGTTGCCGACAGTTAGTTGAGACGCTGCATCCTGCGATACGTGCTACTTACCTTGCAGATGTCTGGCAATTTCCTTGAATGTGGTGGGATCCCGGTCGATATACAGAGTCCTGACGTTGGAAATGTCTCCGTTCAGGCGAAGCTGCTCCTCGAAGAAGCGGGAAAAGTATGACGGGGCTTCACAAGTTTAGCAAGGAACAGCATGAGGATGACTGGTTGGATCGACTGACCATCGGAAGCAATTGAAGCTCCCGAGAGACGGAAGAGCTCAGTTCCTATCTGGATGGAGAACACCTTCTCCAGAGGAAGGGTGCATTTGGGCTCCCCATTACTGGGAGATTGGCTTAGCGTCGGTCGGCCAACTTCACTCGACATTGTGAATTATGCAATGATGTTCCGCGATGGAAGGCTTTGTTGGACTGGATCAGACGTGTTCAAGCCCACGCATGTGGTGATGCTCAAGATGGAATGCACGGCACGTACTGCGGTATGACCGGGCCAGCAAGGGGTCCTTCACTCCGCGATGCACGGTCGGAGATGAAAGCAGCTTCTCCAGGACGTGTGTAGTACAATGGTCTTGCCTCTCAAACAATATATAGTAAAACTATAAGAAAATAGAACCACGAAATCACAATCCGGAGATGTTGTGCACGCAGTCGACTGCTCCCTTTCGGATCAGCTCTGGACAAGAGAAGTCGATGAGTTCAGTCCAGCTCAAGAGGAGAAAGACGACAGTTATATGCAAAAATCTCAACCGTGAGCTGGCGAGAAGACCAGTTGAATCACATCGTGAACCAACAACAGCCCTGGGATGTCTGGCAGCGGAATCAGCCAGAGTTACGCGCTCGGAGGTTCGGCGCGCGCATTCCGGGCGATGGGATTGTCACGCACAGCGGTTAACTTTGGCTTCTGTTCTTCTCGCCGTGAGGGCAGGTCTGTTGGACCAGGGTTATATTGGAGTTTGATTCAGCGGATATCAGAGCAGCAGGAAGACTGGAGCAATCATGATGGAGTGCAGCGCCTTGTCCTCGCAAGCCACCCGTTGGATGGACCGGCGGGACATATGCCATCGGAACCGTATCGATCGTATGGATGTGAACTAACCCCGCTCACGACATGGTGACGCTTCAATTGCAGTAATTGCAGTAGAGCGAAGAATTGCTGATTGAGTCGAGTCGAGTGTAATATCAGGGACAATCAAATATGACATTGGCATGCGCTCTTCACATGGCAAAATGTGAGTGAGTGAGTGTCTAAAGTAAGTGCATTATTCCCCGCACCCAAAGAATGGCTTTTCTTTTTCCCTCGGCGGATCCGCAACATCCCCCCATTAGCCAACCGACCAACCAACCAACCAGCAAGGACTTGCAGCTTCAAACATTCCGCTGATGGCTCCTGTGTCTACTCATTATACTTTATAGACTTCCGGATGGCCCCACTGCTCTCCAGTTCAGGTCTCCTTTTTTTTGATATGCCTCGGGTGCCGTGCGCTGATCGTCACATCGCCAAAAATCACCCAAAAAATATGGGGAGCCACCCCCGTGTTCACCCCGAGTTGGGAGGACGTTCCCGGCGTGCCTGGCGCATTTAGCATTTAGCTCTCCTCGATCGCCCTTTCCGAGTGGCAGCAACCACTAGACTTTAGTCACTTGGCCTCCCCTCACTCTCGCAAGCATTACTTCTCTGGGATTGTAATCGACGCCTGGGTGGTTGGCTGCTCTGCTCACACGCCTCGTCTTTCTCCGCTATTTGAAGGCGCCGAATTCATTAGCAACCGCCGTGGGCCATCATCTCCGCTCCACTCCGGTTCCTCTGAATATGGTTTCTGGTTATTCTTAATTCATCCATTCATCTTATAGCTACTACGGAGCACCTTCTATACATATATCGCTATCCTAGCAGATGGACACGCACACCATGGCGGAACCAGCCTCTCACTACGTTCCTCTGGACGTACCTCTGCCTCCAGTCCCAGCCACTAAAATCTTCACAGAGCAACAATGGACCACTCTTCTATCGTTGGCTGACACGGTCATTCCTTCGATCCGGAGTCCTACTGCAAATAAATCAGCCTCGACCAAGGTCATCCCGCACTCCGAGCTGAACAAGTCTCTGGCGACATTGACTAAATCCATTCACTCTCCGGACGCTGGCACCATTGCAGCACAGTACCTAGAGGAAGACGCGTCGTCAAACCCTCTGTTTCGGGAAGGCTTGCAGCGCCTATTCGCGCAGTATGTGCACGACGAAGGGAGAAATGGCCTGGGATTTATTCTCAATGCTCTCAAGTGCGTATTCATTCTCAGACGTGGCCGTAACAGCCAAAAGCTGACGTGAGAATAGTACTCGGGCGGGATCGCTGCTCCTGACAGGATCTGTAACTCCGATCCACGAACAACCGTTACACGTCCGGGAAGAGATCTTCCGAGGATGGGAGACGTCTCGGCTGAGTCCGCTGCGCGGTGTCTACAGGGCTTGCACGGGTATGTTCAAGCAAACTTGGGTCAAGTTCAGCCCGACTCTTGCTCCTGTACTGGGCTTCCCAAGAGTGCCAGTGCACGGCAAGCCCGCCGATGGTTTCAAGCACACCTTCCTCCAGTTTCCTGCCGCAGATGAGCCGGAGACCATTGAGACCGACGTCGTCATCGTTGGCAGTGGTTGCGGTGGTAGCGTGGCTGCGAAGAACCTGGCCGAAGCAGGCCACAGAGTACTAGTGTTGGACAAATCTTATCACTACACTTCAAACCACTTTCCCATGAACTTCAACGAGGCCTTTACTAGCATGTTCGAGTCAGGGGGTGCCGTCGTGACCGATGATGGCTCGATGGCTGTTCTGGCCGGTTCAACCTGGGGTGGCGGTGGCACGGTCAATTGGTCCGCTGCCCTGCAGACCCAGGGATTTGTGCGCGAGGAATGGGCGAAGAATGGCCTGCCTTTCTTCACCTCGATGGAGTTCCAGAACTGTCTGGACCGTGTCTCGGAACGGATGGGGGTCGACGTTGAGCATATAAAGCACAACAAGACAAACCGCTTCATCCTCGAAGGAGCTCGAAGATTGGGCTACGCTGCGAAGACCGTACCACAGAATACGGGCCACACTGAGCATTATTGTGGCTACTGTACGCTTGGCTGCCATTCCACGGGGAAGAAGGGCCCCACGGAAACTTTCCTGGCAGATGCCGCGACAGCCGGCGCAACCTTCATTGAAGGCTTCCGTGCAAACAAAATCCTGTTCACTGACACTAAAGATGGCCAGGTAGCGTCGGGGGTGGAGGGAGTATGGACATCCAGGGATGCATACCTAGGTCGTTCAGGTGCAACCGCAGTTACGCGGAATGTCACCATTAAGGCGAAGCGGGTTGTCGTCTCTTGCGGCACTCTGCAAAGCCCTTTGCTACTGCTTCGCAGTGGATTGAAGAATCCCCAGATTGGCCGGAATCTCCACCTCCATCCTGGTAAGATGCTCTCTGCGGGAAGGGAATGTCATTGCTAACGTTATCCACAGTTGCAATTGCGGGTGCAGTGCTAGATGAGGAGTTCCGCCCTTGGGAAGGCGCTGCGCTGACCACCGTTGTCAGTGAGCTCGAGAACCTAGATAACCAAGGTCATGGAGTTAAGATCGAGGCCTTATCAATGGTGCCCGCGGCTTTTCTCCCTCTATTCCCCTGGCGCAATGGTCTCGACTATAAGCTCTGGGTGCAGAAGTTGCCTCGCATGGCCGGTCTTATCATGCTTGCGCGCGATCGAGGCACTGGGCGGGTTTATCCAGACCCGGGTGATGGACGCATTCGCATTGACTATGCTGTTTCACCCACGGATCGTAAGCACATTGTCGAAGGTATAATTGCCAGTGCAAAGATGGCATATGTTTCGGGCGCAAAGGAGTTTCACACTTCATGGCGCGAAGTGCCCCCGTTCATCCGCCCGGTGGAATCCGATGCCGAGGATACAGAAGGTGCCAATAATGCAGCACTTCAGGCTTGGATCGCGGAAGTGCGTCGCAAGAAACCCCTTGATCCGGAGCGAACCATGTTTGCCAGTGCGCATCAGATGGGGACATGTCGAATGGGCAAATCACCAAGGACCAGTGTGGTGGATTCGGACTGTCAAGTCTGGGGCACCCGGGGTCTGTATGTGGTGGATGCCTCCGTCTTCCCCAGCGCCAGTGGCGTCAACCCCATGCTCACCAACATGGCCATTGCCGACCGGGCTAGTCGTAATCTGGCCCGATCGATGCGGAGGGGTGATCAGAACTTCCATGCTCGTTTGTAAATGAATCCTTCTGCTCGTGCAGCAAGCCCTACCTGTCCCTTGTCCATACATTCATACCAGACACATTCATAGCAGGGCTGCTGGTTGTGGCTGGACCCATAATGGTATATATCGCTAGCAGAGAATCAATACATTATTATTTCGGTTGATCACAGTCAATTTGCATTGCTTTTCCTATTAAGTCAAGTCATAAATCATGGTCGCGGACCTGCCCCAATCCATCTATCTCTCTGACTTAGTTCTCAGGCTCCTTCCTCTTCTCCACAAAGACCTTAGGTCCAAACGCCTCCTTGACATGCTCACTCTCAAGAACCCGCTCATACCAAGCCACCACACCGGGATACTCCTTCCTCATCTCGGCATCAATACTCGTCGAGAAACCCCAATACAACGCCGCGGCCAGACTAATATCCGCCAAGCTCAACTTCTCCGTAGCCACCCAAGTCCTCTCCTTCAACCGATTCTCCAGAGCTCCCAACGCCCGGGTCAACTTCTCCAACCCACTCTTCTCCGTCGCCTCATCATACGGCTTGTACCCGAGCCGCCACAGCACCAATGAAATCACCGCGCTCTGCACCTCTCCGTCCGCGAAGCAGATCCACTGACGGATCAGCGCCCGTTCGGCGGGCGTGCTGCCGAGCAATTGGCCCGCTGCGGGTCCGCTCTCGGCCACGAACTGCGTGATGGCGTCGGATTCGGCCAGGAGGGTACCGTCCGCGCCTTCGAAGGCGGGAACCTTGCCCATGGGGAATTTGCTGAGGAAGGTGGGGTCGCGGTTTGTCTCGCCCATCTTGAAATCGGCCAGGGTGAGGGTGAGGTTGTTGAAGTTGGCGGCTGCTTGGGTCTGGTTTAATGGTGTTGGTGGTCAGTTTGGGTGGTGGATGGGGGGGATATAGGATATAGTGGGGGGGAGGGAGAGTACCTTCATGACCCGGGGGTTGTTGGGGTAGGTGTAGATGGTTCCGAAGGACATATTGGCGGTTGTAAAGTTGGTAGTATTTGGGTTTGAGGTATTGAGATAGAATTGAGTCTGGGTTTGGGTTTGGATTTGCTTCGAGACAAGATGAAGCACTGGGCTTAAATATATCTCTAGGAGAATATAGATCGGATCAAGGCGGAGTGGAGAGAGAGGGGTTGATTCCTAAACTTGAAGCTGAGATGACAAATCAGCGGAATGGCGGTGGACGATCATACACTCTGATGGAATGTGATGGAAAGTACTATTACTCTGATTCAGTTTGATGTTATGTTTGTTTGTAAAACCGGGATATGCTTGATGCTTACTGTGTATTGCTTTTTTTGCTTGCAAATACATTACTTTCGCTGGGAAGGATTGATTGGCTTGTCAGCAGGACTGTTTATTTCCGAGTGGCTTGCTTTTTGCAGGGAAATGTCGGGTTTGCTGTGGGGTCAGCAAGGGAGATTTTGTAGATACTGGGAAGTACCAAGTATGTAGTATATTGAATTTATTACTGCTATGTTGATATCTACTAAAAGTTTATATTGGTGATTTGTTTACGATATGGCGTCATTAGAGCTAAGTCCGGTTGATCCGGTCTGATTGGTATATCTGCACTTAAGGTTGCTTGGATCTGGATTCCTGCCCCTGGGTTAGTCATCTAATTGGGACGGCATTCTTCAGGTTATCTCAGGGCTATCACTTGGATAAATAATGCCTTTGCTATTGGTTGTTTGTATATCTTAGTTATGGTGCTTCGATTCGTTGGAGGATTGTGTATCAGTCTAGTGTAAGTATGACATGAGGGCTTATTGACAGTGTTGATCTTGCGCTCAGTGCATGCTATCGGAGTATCTTCGCTTCTTAGATATGAGCTCTAACTAGCAATCTTTAATTCCAACTCTTCCTTGGTTTAAGGGATTGCCTGTCCGTTGCAATATCTATGATTCCTAGTAAACAACCCTCCCTAATATAATATGTATACTACCCATCTCATCCCTAGTATTACCAACATAATCTCTATCACCAATATCAAAGCCCTACCCCATACAGAGAACTATACCCAACCACACCACCCTACCATTCACTACCACCTCTACAATCGACATAGCAACCAAATACAAGTAAACCCAAGCAAACCAATAATCAAACAAACCCAACACATCCAACACACATACCCCCTCATCCATAATGCACAGCCCAACCCATCCACCTCCTTCACCTCAACACCCAACCCAACCCCCAACCATGGACTCCATCATCATCAAAATCCCAGGATCATATCCCCGTGACCACCGCTCAAGCCCCCCGATCGTGAATAAACTCATCACTAGTAGCGGCACCCAACCATCCACAGAATTCACTCCGCAGGTCACAACAGCCCTGCTCTCAAAGTATGATGTTCGGGTGCCGCGCGAAACTGCGCGTAGCATATTTAACCAGCAGTCGGATACAGCCATTATGGGTTTTGAATGTATGAATGGGATTGTCGGGGGTATTTGGAACGTTATCTGTTCTGTTGTGTGCGCTTTGTGTTCTGGGTTCTGGGACAGGTATGTCATATTTTGATCATCACCTGACAAGCTTCACAGATACTGACATAAGTATTCGTCCCCTAAGCACATCACAATCCTTCGAAAACAGTGTGAATCACGAAACAGCCGCCAAAATGATCAAACCTATACTCCTGTTGCTTGCAGCTTACGAAGCAGGGCAGATGTACTCGATCACTACTGATGGTGACGTTCTGAATGGGGAGATCACGGTGCGCGCTTGGGGTCATGAATATGAGTTTGCTCGGACGTTGAGGCGATATGATGATTTGATGGTGCGTGATGAGTGTGCAGAAGATCGTGTGGCAAAGGCAATGGGTAGGGTTGTATGTGCAATGGGACGCAGTCATAATAAGTGGGAGATCCAGTACCTCATAGTGAATGTTTGACTGATGTATCTGCAGGCTTACCTACATTATGGCCACGGCTGTTCTAACCGAATGCATCTGCAACATTCTACATCTTGGAAGCTGCTACGGGTTGGCGGTTATGATGGCGTGTATTCTAGCTGTTCTGTTTGCGGCAGCGGAGGATTACGTTGGTTGTTCGGTTATATCTACATCTACATCTACATCTACCTCTGTGAAAGAGGGTCGTGAGGTGACGCTTCGGGATTTGATGATCGGTGCATTGAAGAAGAGTGGTATTCGCTATGCTAAAGTTTGGAGTATGCCGACTTTGCAGAAGCATAATACTAGTGACACGGAAGTGCTTGAAAAGTACCTTATCAAGGGATTGAAGGCACCCACCACCGGAACCGTCCACGATGTATACGTGACACATTATAAACATGGGATGGTTGTCGAGCGATTTACCCCCGAAGAAGATACTGCATCCCCCGCCAGTCCTGCTGACTCTCCCGACAATAATCACGACGGATACAAAGTCTCCTACGGCCTTCGGTACTTGGCGGAGGTGAATCCGCAAGATCAGCAAGCCATAGCAAAGGGCATTGGTAGATCATGGACCTGCTTGGATCAGACCAGCACCATGATCTTGACCGAGTGTGATATCTCTGACGAGCACGCGGACTTTTACTTCGACTTTGATGCACGGAGTGATGACGACGAAGACGACGAAGAGGATGGGGACATTGAGATCGCCGGCTCGTTGAATGGTTTCCTATAACTAAAACCTTGTGTCCTGTCAGGCTGTGTTGGTATTCCTGTTCACTCATGTTCTTAACTAGGAGCATATCTTACACTTACCTCCCTCTTCCCTATCCCCTTCTCAAGCTCATCCCACCCCAGCACAAAAGCAATAAATAAACAGCAAATGGGTATCACAACACCATCTTATAAAACCATCAAATCCACCCCGCCATCCCCCAACACCCCTCACAAACAACCCTCTCCCTCTTCCCCCCACCACCAACACCACCCGCAACGCCCAACACCATCCCCACCCTCCTCAACCCACCACAACCACCACAAAACACCCTCAGCTCCCCTTCCACCCTCACCAACGCCCCAGCTCCATACCTCGCCTCCTCGCCCTCGCCCTCCCCCCTCGGCAGAACCCCACAATCAACACAGAACCTCTTCGCCCTGTCCCGTCCGTACCGACCTCTGCCGCGCCGGAGCATCCGGTCCGCGAAGACAGAGCCGGGACGTAGCCGCAGACAGTATCGGCAAGTGTAGAGGTCGTGGGCGATGGCGTAGTCGGTGGTTTCGGCTGCGAGGAGGGCCGAGTGGCTGGGTTGTGGGAGGAGAGTGTAGAAGTAGGTGCAGGTTGCTTGGAGGGAGTAGATATCTGGGAGGAGAGGGAGGTGCGAGGTTATTTGGAGGTGGAGTTCCGGGGGGAGGGTGAGGAGGGGGGGTTTGTTTTCTTGTTGATGGTGGTTAGAGGGGTGTGGTGTGGGTGGTGGACTGGGGGTGGTTGGTGGGGGGTGTGGATTCATTAAGGGTGGTCATTGTTGGTATGTATTGTTGATGATAGTAGATGAGGTGTGATGTGATAGGGAGTATGGGGTGTCTGGGTGAGAGGGGAAAGTGGAAAAGGAAAATGCGGGGGTGATGTAATAGGTGAGACGGGATGCGGACACGTGCTTATGGTTCTATGTAAGGATTTGATTCAACTGAAATTTGTATTTTGCTTTTGTTCTGTGCTCGTGTCATGTCCACATTATTGATAGTTGGCTAATCCTGTCTGGCTGGGTCCTGGTCTGGCTTGTTCTGCAAATACTCATCAATCTCGGCCATGATCTCCGGTGTCAGACGTGGGAGTAACTTCAGACTCTCTACATTGTCAACAACCTGCTCTGGCCGAGAGGCGCCGGTGATCACAGCGGAGACATTCTCGTTCTTGAGACACCATGCCAGAGCCAATTGCGACAGCTTGACGCCCATCTTGTCCGCAACCTCCTTGAAGTTTGTCAGCGATATGCCTCAATTGATCGATTGGAGTAGCATACCTTCAATCCAACGATCTTCTTGATATTCCCAGCCCATTGCTCGTTCTCCCAGTCTCTGCGCACGCTGCTTGCGAACTTGTCGTTGCTCTCTGCGAAGCGAGATCCTGGTGGAGGCTGCGTCGTCGCATCATTATACTTGCCACTGAGGAGACCCATCTTCAAAGGTGAGAAGGTGGTCAAACCAATGCCGCAGCGGGAGTACAGTCGCTGGTACTGCCCTTCCACCTTCTGCCGGTCCAACATGTTGTACAGAGGTTGTTCGACAATGGGCGCAATCAGTCCCAGAGCTCTGGCAATACCACAAGCCTCGCTGATCTCGTCCGCAGACCATTCCGATGTACCCCAGTAGAATGCCCATCCTTTCTCAATGACATGATTGAAGGCTCTCACTGTCTCTTCCATGGGTGTTAGACGGTCGGGGCGGTGGGCGTATATGATGTCGACATATTCGAGCTGTAGACGCTCAAGAGATGCTCGTGTGCCTTCGATGATGTGTTTGCGGGATAGACCGTGGTTATTGATTAAAATCTCGCCATTCGCTAGACCCCAATTGAGCTGTTGACGGATTAACTTGCGTCTACACGGGTCGCATAATGAACGGTACGTACCTTGGTGCTGATGACGAGATCGCTGCGCTTCCAGCCAAACTTCTTGATGGCTTGACCCATGACGATTTCTGATTGTCCGCCCGCATAGCTCTCAGCTGTGTCGAAGAAGTTGATCCCCAAGTCGTAAGCTTGCTTCATGCAGTTGAAGGTGATTTCTAGGGCAAGGAATTAGCTGTTGTTGCGCCTTAAGGCAACTTTAGTGATTATTACCGTTGTCGACATGACCGCCAAAACTATAAGACAAGGATTAGCCATGTACAACTCTTCTCTGGAGGAGACCAGTTACTCACGTCAGCCACCCTCCCAGACCGAGTGCAGAGACGTGTAGACCAGAATTGCCCACTCGCCGGTAGAGCATGTCCTTGTTCTTGTTTGGCCACGCCATGATTATATGTAGAGTATCTTCTTGAGAGCCAGTTAAACGTAAACAGGGAATAGGACGAAAAGACAGAGCGTATTTATTGCCATCTGTGAGGGGTCATGAACCAATTTATCTGGTTGCGACAGCCATTGCGTTGCGCCCGGGGAGCTGCCATCGCGATCTGGCCGCGATTGGTCAGGCAGAGACGGTCATTGTACTGGAATCGAATGAGAGCTGTTCTTGACAGAGTCTCCGGGTCCTCGTGCTTGTGAAGACCAATCATATGAGCAATAAGTCAAGGAGGGGCAAATGCGGAGGCCAGCAAAGGCGTCGGAGGAATACTCGGAGGGTCTGGCTCTGCTTTAGCCTGGATGTTTTAGCATAGGCACTAGTGGTCTTAGCCAGTTCCGAGGAAGGCCTCTCAGGGTCTATCTCCGTTTTCCATGTACTGCTAATGAAGTGTAGAAATGAGAAGACAGCAATAGCCATGAATGTGGAGGAAAGGCCTTAGCAATAATAATTGGAGTAAATGAGTGCAATCTGTGATTATTATCCCATTCGAGATAGTATGCTTGTCAGGTGACAGCAGGCAGACTGCCGTTTATAGTCCAGCCAGCGGCGACCGAGTTCCTATAAGTACATCCATCCACCTTTGCTGAAGAATTTCTTGATCTTTTGCATTTCTACCATGCGTTCTACCTTCTTTCACAATTATGGTCCAAGAGTGGCTTTGGATCCCACCAATTGCTTCGCCATTACCTGATGGGATGCCGAAAAGGTCCCTGTGGTATATTTGACGCCAATGAAGAAGATGCGTTCTCCTGCAAACCACTTCAACATCCTGTGATCGTCACTACAATTGTTTCCGCCGCCTCTCCTCGTGCTTAATATCTATACATCAGCTTTGTGACTCTGCAACTATCAAGGCAATGCTTTTCAGGACGAACATCCCCTGATGTCTGTGATGGACAGTCCAGGCACACGAGGTGGGTCTCGATAATGGCGTGCCGCGTGGAGTTGAAGGCGCAATCACCCGCGATCATTAGACATCCTCATCGTATCATTGCAACACCTTTTCGACAAAAATCACAAGTCAAGCAATACAGCACCTTCGCAGCGGAGTCACCCAGAACTGCTCCGTCGAACGACTCGGATACGCCACGTCTGCACCAAGCGTCGCTTCAAGCTGCACCACTCAGCGAATGCGTAGGCTTTGCCCCGCAATGACCTCGGGTTAATCGTCTCCTCGCATCATTTGGGATATGCAGCGTTACGCTACTGGCTGATTTTCGGCTCAACTGACAGCCCATTGCCGTTCAACTTTTCTCGCAACTCCGTCCTGTTTCCTTTGTCATGCATTCAATCGAAGCAATTTGCGCTACGCCTGCGACTTGACAACCAGAAAGATGTCTTCCAGAGCAAGTATAACGAAGAAAGCATGCGACGGCTGTAAGATTCGAAAGATTCGCTGTGGTGGTGGTCAGCCATGCCGGTCCTGCTTCAATGCACGCATCAAGTGTACCTACATCCGGGTCCAGCAACCTCGCGGTCCTCAGAAGCTGCGCGCAACTACCAAGTACCTTATAGACCAAGCTCAACGCGGTATCGAGGTACATGATGCTCTACCCTCGATCCCTCAGAGCGGGGAAATTTTGGAGACCGACCACGCCTCGACACCGGCACAGCGAGAATGTGGTGCAAAATCGGAAAGGTATGTTAATGATCATTCTCGTATCTTCCGGGTCGTGCAGCCAGAAAGCCACTTTATTGTGCTTATTATCGACTAACACTTTGAGCGACACAGATCTCGCATACCCACCAATGTTCTCGCATCCCCGCTTTATATATACCACGTGCGAATGTACCCAGTCTGGCCGATCGTCGATGTCGAGAATGTCATGTCCAGTTTGCAACAGGATGTCGAGGAGAATGACCACGAGACATATGCATTGGCAACTGCTGTGGCAGCGGCAACGATCGCTCAGTTGAGGCTAGGGCAAAATTCTCTACCTGACAAGTCGGTGACCGCGGAAACATTTGCAGCAGAGTGCATGAAGGCCCGAAGATCCTGCGATTACCGATCAAGGCTCAATTTGAATAACGTCAGGACGGCCTTTTTCCTTCATGTATACTTCGAGAACCACCAATCGGGCGCCAGCGAATCACTGTTGTACTTGAGGGAGGCTATTACACTCGCCCAAATGATGTGCCTGCATCGAGAAGTCTCGTACGCTGGCCTTCCCTCGGAAGAGCAACAAATGCGTCGCCGTGTGCTATGGCTGTTGTTTGTCACCGAACGGTAAGTAACCGCTCTTACTTTGTGTTGACTTGCCCCTAACATTGTCATAGCGGCGTCTGCATACTCCACAAACTCCCCGTAGTCTTGAGAACAGATATCTCAACCCCAGAACTTGATGCGAATGATGAGCCCCAGGTTCTGCCGGCATTCCTGAAACTGCTCAATCTGTTCCGACTGTTTGAACAGTCAAAAATGTTCGACATCATTGAGGATGATCAGGGAGGCTTTGAACCACTGTCCAGCGAAGTTCCTAACCTAGACAGCCGTTTTCTTAGGCTACTACAAGATAATTTGCAGGACGGATCAGCTTTGTTGGACCATATTTCAGACGTACAGAAGGCAGACCTTTGCGTTACCAGACATTGGATGCGCATGATCTTGTGGAAATTCTCGTCCAAGAAAAGCGCTCATGGATCTTCTACTTATTGGCCCACTTCTCCATCATTTCCAATCTTGGTCGCAAAGGAGCTATTGAACATAGTATCGCAACTACCACGAGCGGCCATCGAAGCCCATGGGCTCGGTATGGTATGTCACTTTCAGCAGCCCCAGAGGAATGACCACTGATTAGATCTTCAGGAGTTGAAACTCTATGAAATTGCCAGCTCACTCGCCGATGCCGTAATAGACCTCGCAATGTTGCCAAGGGCGCCTTCTTGGGATAACGAAAGCCGCCCCAGCAGTATTTTAGCCCGCTTACACTCCATCCTCTCCACTTTCAGAGGTGGGGGGAACAAGGAGCTAGCTGAGTTACTGTATAGAAAGATGGCAGATGCTCAGGCTAGAAGCGGTCCTGCTTTATCACCTCCAATAAGAGAACCACAACCACCAGTTAAAAGTAAAATGCTACCTGCAGCTACCACAACTTCTGCGTCAGGTGGAGAGGACCTAACACATAAACGGGCTACTACTGCAATGGAAGCTGCAGGTCCCATAGCTGACGACATCAGCCCGCTCAATAATTGGTCCACTGCCACCGAGGCTCAGCTCCCTACAATGCAGTCTGTGGGCCAAGGGCATATACAAGATAGTCTTAGTCTTGTGCACCATGCGCAGAGTGGGTACAGCGGTCTTCAGCCACTGGAAGACATGCTATTCCCCGAGTTTGCGGAGTCAACATTTCCTACTCAACTGGAGTCTTCTGAAAGCGTCTATGACCCCTCTTTTGGCAACTTGCTACCATATTCACTACCTCTGGAGGGTGCGAGAAGTACACCCATGAATTTCGCCTCGCTGTCGCCTGCTTTACCCTCTGGCTCCGTTGAAATGCTGATAAACGACTTTATTTCGCAAATTCCGGAGGGTCAGTTTACACCTGAACCCAACTTTTCAAGCAATGACTTTCCAGATGCAGTCTTGTCTGGCGAAGGATTTCTGCTTTCTTAGCTAAGATATTCCCGATCATTCTATGAGCACCATTATGAATATACCCATTTGCTGTTTAAAGCGAATTCAGTCATATTATGCCCAAGAAACCAATTATCAAGTCCAAATTACCATTACCAACATGTTTGATTATAATACATTCGTCTCATCAGTATTTGAAGCGGAAGTCTAGCCGCTTATTTCCTTCCTTTTCTCGTTCTTCCCTGTCAGATTGGTACAAAACCCGCTCCTCGGGAGACATGGCTTGCCATTTCCTCTCCTTTTGTCTGTTCAGGTGCCGCAAGAATTCACGTTGGGCGACAAACACCGCCAAGGAGAGCACGCACAGCGCAATCAGCACCTTGTTTCCAGTGTAATAATACGGCGAATCACTCGTCCGATAGATCTCTGTTCAACAATCAGTCAACTTGCCAATATTTCAACTGGACCAAATCACTTACGCGAAGAAATAATCGACCCAATCTGCACAATCACATTATATGTGGCCGCCGTAATCGCTCTCTTCTTCACATCAAACGTATTCTCGGAAATCCAGGCCGACACAATCGGATGAAAATACGGATATCCGGAAATCATCGTCGAAACGGCAAAACGCGCCCAGTTATATCCATAATTCGGCAGCGCAACCAAAGCCGCCAGCAGCGGCAGGGACCAAAACTCGCCGAAGAAGCAATGGAACGTCCGCTCGCCAAAGATATCACTACTCTTGGAAACAGCCAGCATGAGGATGATTTGCAGCGCGGCGGACGGGATTGAGAGCATGTTTGCGTCGAAGGTATCAAAGCCGAGACGAGTCAGGGTGAGCGAGAGGTAGGATTGCACGGGACTTTGAGGGATATAGGCTACTAGACCGATGAAGTAGAGTCCCCACATTGAGGGGTCTTTCCATGCTTCAAAGATGTCATGTAGTGTGGCGCGCTCGTTGATGTGCGTTAGGCCTTTGGAGGGGTCATCGCGGAGGAGGCGCTGTTGGGGTCAGTCAGATTCCGTTCAATTGGAAAAGTTATGGTATACGAGCACTTACGTTAATCATGATCACCTCTTCGCGCTCAGAATACCACGGACGGGGGAACAGAACACTCTTGGTATTCGTTGGGGAACTGGGGAGGTAGAAAAGACTCTATTTGACTGTTAGCAAATACCTCCTCTCTGATGCCTCGAGATAGAGAACCACTTACAACCAACCCAATAAGGAACGTAAGCAACCCATCAATCAGAAAAAGCCAGAACCAGCCCGACTTTCCCTCGACGCCGCGCATCTGCAGAATACCAGCAGCCAGCAGGGAGGAAACGATGCGAGCAACCTAAATCACCAATCGTATATTAGCCCCAATTCCACCACTCTCTCTCTTCCCCATCTCCAACACCATCACGCAGTAAAGAGATAAACTTACATTCAACGTCGACCAAAAAAACGCCAATCTCACCGACAACTCCTTCGTCTTATAGAAATATGTCGCGAAGAGAATCGTACCGGGGATAAACCCTCCCTCGAAGGCACCAATAAGCGCTCTCGTCACGTAGAATGACGCCCGGCTGGTCATCCATGCCTGCGTCCAGGAGACCAAACTCCAAGCGAGCATCATGACGGGCAGGACGCGCTTGAACCCAAA